AAGCCATTACTGGTGCAAGCAAGATGGGTGGAGCTCTCCAACTTAAACCTAAGGCGTTTTCTTTAGACTGAGGACTGATCATTAAAAAACACTGATCAATTTTGTGCTAATATTTCCTGTATAAGAAAAGAAGATTTTTAAGGAGAATTTAACGATCTGTCTTCATCACATGAGTGTTCCTTTTGAATCAACCGCAATCAGGTTTCTATTTCACCGAAAGTGTGTCTCTTGATTCTTTGAACTGGATTTTTTGGTTTTACTGTTACGGTAGAGTATAACTAGTTCCAGCATTTTGCTACACATCATTTGAGAATTATTATTAGGTGCATTCAAAAGAATGTCCCAACAATGGGACGATATGTCATTGCGGAAAAATATGTATTATTTATCTTATTAATATTGTCATGTGATGAGTCACGGAATGGAGCATCTTCAAGTTAAGCACCATTACATCATGACCGTTTTCGCTTCGCTTGACTGATGGCATCAAATTCGAAACGTATTTGTTCTGGCTATTAACAGTTCCGTATGATTTATTTGAGGTCCGCGGCTTGAACAGTGTGGTCCTAATAAAACTTTATTGAGAATTGAACTGTAAATCTCGCCCAAGAGACCGCCAAGTCAAATGGACACTGGGCGGCATTCATCGAAAACGGAAAAACTGATAAATAAAATCAATATGGCACATACGTAAAACATCTGAGATTTTGAACGAGCTGAAACCAAAACCGAAACCGCTCTCTAAAGGCCATTGAAACATTAATCTCACAGACTGAACAACCAAAAATACACCAATGTATATCTTGTAACATTTTTTTTAGAATTAATCTACAATCTCTTGAACTTAAACTAGTTCTTGATGGAGTCTCTGAACTAGTATCGACCAAAATGTGATTACACGTGTAATGAAAAATAATCTGGACTCAAGAAAATAGAAGCTAGAATGACGCAGTTAAATAAAAACATATAGTGAAACAGTAGCTTTAGGACTCACTCTCAAGTAGGCATGAAATGCTTCCAGCAAAAAACTTTAAATGAACTAGTTGAACTAGTTCGAGTAATTGTGTTTCTTCTTATTCAAATTGAGCTCTCGCCAATGCCAAGACCTCAGACAAACCTAACCGTATAAGCAGTTAAAAACAGTAGTGAAGTCACGTTTCAGTCAATACAATCAATATTTTATGGTGTAATACCGAGTGTTTTATTTCTTTTCTCGTTACGAGCCTGACAGGTCGCCATTAGAATTGTCAAGCCACGAGGAAATTCCGATAACTTAGAACAATGGCGTTGTAACTGGCCATAAACCCAAGTTATTTAGCGTAATTATTATCGAGTTTTTGTCGCTGGGTGGTAATTTAGCGGCCGAAACGTTGACCAGCACCTCGCCAGTTTTCAGCATCAGTCAGCAATTAGCGTGAATAATTAAGCCTTCTGGAACTGTTCAGATCCAATGTTTTCCCAGTAAAAAATGAAAATCGTGACTTAACTATTAATTAGTTGTAATTGAGGGCCAAGCACGCGGGTCTATGGCTAACGGTCAGTTTAGGGAACGTGGCACGAGCCGAAATTCTCAAAAATATCTTCGGTTATCTCGTTAGATCTTTTAGAATAGCCCCAATAAATTTTCCTCGAAAAAGATTATCTCACTTCTGTCCTAGAAACATCTCAACTGCTGAAGTAAAGTTAAACGACTTAGGAAATGATGGATGATGAATGGAAATGAATTTTAGATTAAACACCCAATTAGGCAGTGGAAGCAAAAATGAACCAATCATAGCGAAGATGTGAAGAACAAGATTATTCGAATCTGATAACAATTCTCTTTTCCAACTTATATTCCAAAAAGAAAATCTTAAAAACGAATCGGTAGGATTTCCTTCTGAATCCTCAGCTCAGATGTAAGCCGGAAGAATAAGCTTATCTTATGTTATTGGAATTTATTGAAAGCTTCAGGATTTTGTCACCTCGACTAACGAGAGGTAATGAAGAAGTCGTTATTCCAGCAGGTTTTCATTACTATGAAAACAATAACTCACCGATGCCTGCAGTATCAATGAGTATATCTTTGATTATTGATGGCTTTTTATAACGGGCATTGATTCAACTAACAAACGATATTTAAGATTTAGAAAATTCTAAGTTATTCTGCAGCTTTAATTAGCAACAAAAGTTTCCAGTCTTGCCTAATGATGATGAAGATAACTCACAAACGGTATTATTTATGAGAAAGGCAAAAGCTGAGTTTCTCACAAACCTGTAGCTTATCAAGAGTGCGAAAGTTTGCTTTTTAATCAAATTTTGTAAAATGGAGAGAAAATCGATAAATTGTTAACAGCGGAAAAATCATTAAAAACCTATTAACAATTTGTGTCGCATTTACACCTCGAAAAAATATGTGCGTCAAAAGATCCACTTCATCACATTTGTTTTTTTATGAAAGTGTGATAGATTTATGGCCACTAAGCAACTGACCCTTTCTGAATGTGGATTTCGATGTCCCTCACTCGCAAAGCCCTCAAATTCTACAATTCGCAGGAAATCTGCAATTCGACAAAAAAAGATTTTGAATGATTCCCAAATATTTCGGATAAGTCAATTCTAGCTCAACTGGGAATATGTATAAAACATTTTCTTCATTCTTCGTGAATGGTTTTTCCCAAAATCACTTGCACCTTTATTTAATTCCATAATTTGCTTTTTAGGAACACCACAACTGCACCTCTTTCATTATCGCCTCCAACAAATATTTCAAGTCTTCCCAATCCTCTCATTCATTTTCATTCCAATTCTATTCTCTTTCTCAATCTCCTCGTTTCTATAGAAAATGTTCAATTGAACAATAAGTAGTTATTTAAATCCTTTTAACTAATATCTGTTTTTTCACAAATCAATAGCTCATTGATATAATTGGTGATATAATGAGATGTTCCATTTCAACCACTTTAGACGCTTTGGGGGATAAGAAAAAAAAATCTTCCTAGAATGCACCCTTTGAATTTGGCCAGGAATTTATGTAGAGACCAGAAGTTTCTTTTTTAACTTAAATCAAATTGATCAGACTGATTATTACCATTAAGAACTTGTTCTACTTGATATTTGTAACCACTTTCAAGGACCTTGCAGCAGTGAGCCATAATCACAAACACTTAAAGTTTCCCACTTTTTAATGGTTTTCCTTTGCTTTACTATATTCAGCCGTTTCCAAAACACTGGAGTGAACACTTGATGCGCTCCAGGTTGCGCCACTGATCCTGCAAGTTCTGATACGCATTCCGATGATAATGCAGGACACTTTGAATACGCATTGTTACGGGATATGTCGCAACCGAAAAATCTGAGAGTGTCAACATAAATAAATACATAATTAATAAAGTTTCATATCCACCAGGGCAGGTGGGCTGCGTACTTGAATAGGACATTGTAAAGGTGGGCAGCGTATATTGCATATCAATCCAAAAGGTTACGACAACGGGAAAAATGGATACTGTAATCCTAACAATTAAAACCGTGGTAATTAGCAATGGAATTTTAATGCTCTAGCATGATTTATCTGATAGTTGCCATTCAAAATGGTCAACGGAATTGTACGTTCATTAACTGAAAGTGTGTAGGAACTGTCGATTAACTTACACCCTGTATGCATGTTTGTAACGGGTTTAATTCAGTTCAAAGCTTTTATCTAGAATTTACTAAGATTAAAATCCTGGTAAAATTTCTGGTGATTTATTTTTCCCCTTTTACATTTAGCATAAAAACAAAACACCTTGTGCGGGTGTTAGAAAATTTTGATCAGGAAAATTGTCATCCAAACTCTTTAAAAATGTATGCATACCATTTGATGTGGATTACTATGTTTTGCGCTTCGCTACTATAATTTAAATGAACAATAGTGATATTGATATTTCCCAGAAAAATGCTTCGTTCGTTATTCTGGGATGTAATAAATATAGCAGAATAACTGATATGTGGAATGATAACCATAGTCTTAGTGCAATATATAAAAAATAAATAATAAGTTTGCCTCAGCACATCCTGGGAAATTGTATCTTTATTAAAGATATTTATTACTGTGCTCAGTCTGGAAATATCTGCCTTTCTTAGGTACATGAACGCCTTGTCCTAGTTATTGGATGCATCAGTGTTCGATGGTAAAATTACTATATAAATAGTTTCTCGTCAAAGAACGACACGAAACTAAAGGAGATTTTAAAACCAGCTTCACTAAACGCTCCATTATTGCTCCCAAAAATCACCAACGACTAAACCGAGTCGAAAAAAGCCAACGTAAGGAGTTTTTGTTGGAACACTAATTTAGCTAAGCTCCAACATATTTGCATAAAACGCACTCTTTCTTTTTCCCTAATTTAAAAAACTGGCTATGACTGGCCGTATATTGAGACAAGATGGTCGCTTGTTTTATCAAATATTGACAAACATACCAAAAAGCCAATATTGATTGGAAATTTATACCTTTTAAGGTAATATGGTGGCTTGCGATATTTACTCGGCTTGATGGAGATTTTAATGGCTATGTCTCAAGCCCCTAATGCCCGAAACTTCTAGTAATCCACAAAAATCGAGCGACCGATGACAATTTTCCCAAAGTAATTGCAAATTATAACCAAATGGCAATAAGTACGAGTGCAGTAATCGAACAATGCGCAATAAATCAGCAATAACAGTTAATTTGCAAAATGGCAAAACAATAACAAAAATAAATATTGATTCTGCTGTTCACGGTCGAATAACTAGAGCAGTACTAGCAGACTCTTCTGGTACTGCTCGAAGAATAATGGCTGCTTGCTAGCCAGTATCTAATTTGCAACTTTAATTGTCCGATGGTTTATGGAGAATTGTCGAGAACGGTTTCATATAAAGATTATTTCTTGCTCGAATACCGTAGGTTTACTGACAGAATGTCTGCGAAAATGTTAAATAATCAAGAAGTCGGAAAACACGCAATGCAAAGCGGGAGTTCATTATTTTCATGTCGTACTTACCTCCTTGGCTGCGTTGGAACTTCCTCAATTCATCCCATGCTCTTCATTACTCCATTCATTGCAGCCCAAAATCTGAAAGCCAAGAAACAACATTTCTAATTCATCCACTTTATTTGAGGTTCGTTTACACAATAACAGATATCGTTATATGGTACTGTTCTCTTATTAACTCGTTATATCGCTATTGGTTGTACTCTATTAATTACTCTGTTTAATTGTTCGAATTTTACAGATTTACATAAGAACCCGTTATTTGAAATTTATACCTACAGCCTACCACAAAAGCTTGACTTCCTGGTCGAGATTGAAATTTCAGGATGTTATAACAATCAGCAACGGTTTAACGATCGAACAAAGAACAGTATTATAGAAATACCTACTTCGTTGATTATTTCAATATAAAAAATCGACTTTGCAAAGATGCGTTTATTGTCTGAATTACCTACTTTCTACCTAAAGCATTGTCATGAAAAAAGCGAAAATCATGATTTATTTATAAAGTGAATCTAAACGCGATCAAAATATTGGTTGCAAAATATGATTACAATTTTCTTGGGTTATCAAAATCCCCCTGGCTTTCACTAATTTTCATTTCAATTGAAATTAATTTTGAAGTCTGTTAATAGTACGAAAGTTAGCAGGTCAAACGTCTGAGATTTCGGCGAAAATCTCAGTTTTTATCAAAACTTGACAAACTGGAATGCAAGATTGTCTCTAAATAAAAATTAAGCGTATTACAAACGGCTTGTTAAAAGTAAACGGTTCATTAGATAAAGCCACATTTTCCTATATTAAAAACCACATTTCTGAATAATTTATTGTGTAAAAATCACATTGCATGTCGAATTAATTATTAGTTGAGCCATGCTAACATATGAAATGTTTAAATATTATACTTTGCACACTTTTAAAATGTTCTTCTAAATTAAATGAGATCAAGGAAATGAAAATTGGGTTTGATACAAAATTCCCCGAATCCTCTGTTTCGAAGAATTGAAATCCGAGGAAGGAACACGTTTCCAAATTTTCAACAAAAACTGACAATATTGGAGAACTGGTAAATTTCTAACAGAAAAGATGAAAAAAATGTATTACAAATAATTTCAACTCTCATGATTTAGTTTACCTATTTATTACACGTCTTGATTGCATATCGACTTACAAACTAACCGCAATAGGATTTTATACAGTGTACCCTGGAGAAATCAAATTTAAATATACGTTTTGGTACTATGCACGTGGGCGAATCCAATCTAATCAATACACTTTACTTGTTTATTAGAATGAGCTAATTTATATTTTCCGGCCTAGGGACAATGATTTATCGGAACATATAGCGATAGTCAATAATTTTAATTAGGACTTGCTGTCTGAATGTATAAAAAAAGACGAGTCAAATAATTGATATAATGATGGAAGCTGAACACTCGCATGATAACATATTTAGCTGTAGATACCATTAAAAACTGCTAGAAAACTGGAGAAATTGCTGCAGAATTTCGTTGCGAATGTTGAGCAATTTGAAGCAGCAGTACACTTCAAAGAAAAATTAAAAATTAAAAACAGTTATCATTCAGTCCATTGAAGTGCAGTAGATTCAACTTTTGAAAATAATTATTCTAACAAAGCACACCTGAACAGTTACTTTCCATGTAAAGAATCTAGTTCTCCAACTTCGCAGTATTTAAATATTCGAGATTCAACTGTTAATCCTCCAACTGGTAGTTAAACTCAATGATCTATTGGTTCGCATTTGCCCACCCCCAGTTGCGAAATTGACGAGGAAATAGCACTTTCAACTCATTGGCGCCCATCCCAAGAGCTTGAAAGCTTTATTAAATTAAAGCTTCTTCAGCCATTGGATTTTAAAACAAATTAGCAAGACTGAAGGTACGTCTAAAAGTAAAAAAAAAGCATTTGAAAAAATGATTTGCACAATATGTCGCCAATATCGAATTTGCTCTTCTCAACACTATTCAGCTGCTCAGATCAACACCTGATTTTCCTGCCACTGCACACTACATGCCTTCAACAGTTCTAGACTGCAATAAATATAATAAGTCACATTTGCAAATTTTAATCCCATATCGACGGCTCTGACTTCAATTACTTGCGCTGTTGAATAATGTATTGCAATTGTATTGATGTAATTGAAAAGCTACATCTTCAAAGCATCATCAATCAGAGTGTCGATTTCTTTGTGATACGACCCATCAGTCTCATCAGCAGTAGCAAGGCAGATCTGTTATTAAACTATAGTTTTTGCATGACGACCATCAATTTAAAACGTTCCTTAAATCGACCTCGAATTCGAACTGAATAATCATCAATAGAATATGTAATTTTCTAATGGAGAGAATAGACTAACGAAAAGGTATTGCAAATGGAATATTGTCTTCCTCTTTGGAAAGTGGCGATTAGATCCAGTGATAATATTACAAACAGACCACTATTAATCACAGAGATTATTCGAAGATTCCTTGCCCATCGTCTATGAAGAAGTAAGCAACTATTAGAAAAAGAGGAAAACGAAACTGATGCTTAATCCAATGAAATATTTTGAACAGGTAAAAAGTACAATGGAAAAAAACTATGAAGTTAAAGATTCCACTTCCGCACAATAAATTGGTACAAAATGTCCTAATATACTTTGAATCCTATAAATCGTACCCATGAAAGCAGCCAGTAATGGTGTATGCTCAATTTAGGCTCACAGGAACTCAATTTTGTAATTACGTGAATACTAGTGATACCCCATTCACCTTGCGAATGTCCAGACCGCAAATTCAATTTCCCGGAATGGATGACATTGGGGGAAAATTCCAACGATATTATAAATCCTCGTAGTATCGATTTCCCGGCTATCCATGAGAGAACGTGCGCATTTTGCAAAAAGGATGGGTATATGGATAATAGCTTATATTATCAGTGTACACCGAAAGAAATGCGTTTTAATCCCAACTAATTCATTGAAACCTAACGCTTAGTCGTCAAGACGCAACTTTACCTTTCAAGAATTTTTCAAGCGCAGACAAGTGCAATTTGATATTTTGTTTAAACTGAACGAGATGTACTTGAAATACGGGACTTTCTAAAACGGCGAATGTTATTTTTTTACGTATATGAACGAACAATTGACGCAAAACAGATACCACACCATAACTCTTCCATTATCGTCACTGTCAAGTTTACGAGATGGAAAACGAAATTTCATTCATAAATTGTAGCGTTGCGTCATTCCTGCCAAGAAACAGTGATGAAGCTGAAAAAATGCCGCAGTTTTGCTGTACAATAAACTTGTGGATTCAAACAAAATTGCTACTTTTTGTAACAAAGCTATTATCAATATGACAAAACAATAAACTGTTGCAAGTATCTGAGAAATCAACAAATAAATTATTATTTGATTAAAATGAGCTCTTGTTATTTGCTTGGATGGGATCCAAAAGAACGCAAAACTCAGTTTACCTTTGTGGGCGTAATCTCCAGATTAAATTGTTTAAATTCAGTTCAAGTTCATAGAACTCAAATTAAATTAGAATACTTTTCATGTTATTAGTGAATTATCATTATTAAGTAATGTTAATATTATGTACATCATTTGCTAGCAAAATATTTTATTGTTAGGATGTTTTCATGCTGTTAAAAAGCCATGTTCCGAGAATAGTTGGCTAAAAAATTGCAGTTTTCTCGATTTTGAAAGCGTTTAAAGTGTAAAAGTACGTTGGAAAAAGAATTGCTAATAAAACTGAGAATTAATGGGCGCAAATAGTTTCGAACTTTTCTTCGAGTCTCAAAATGATGTTAACAAATTATAATCCAATGAATTGAATGAAAAGTTGCCTGTCAAAAGTCTTCTTAAGCAAAAACTAACGAATGAGTGAATTAAACTCAAGCATTGCCATATGCAAAAGTATCTTTGTATAAACTTCTCTTTGTAGTAAGTACGTACTTTCAGATCGTGTAAAAACCAATATTTTCCAAGTATGTGCTGACTTGAAATCGATTCAATAATAAAGCGCCATAATTTTAAGGCAGGTGAAAGTTATACTTAAAAGCCAAATCAGATTTTATGAGAGAATATTCTGATAAAAATTAGCGAGGCAGAAAAACTTTTCGGGTTATTAAATTAAAAGGTTGTTTGATTATGCTTTAGGAATTCCAAAATTAATTTTCTGAGCAAACAATTTTTACCAGCAACCGAGAATGAAGAGCAGCATTTATTTCAAAAAATAAAGTTAAACATTTTTTTAGCTATTTGAGTTATTTAGTACAATTTCATATTTTATACTGACATTTTATTTAAATGTTCAATAAAATTTTGCTCTGTTTGTCTTTGGCGCCTTCAAACTTTGTACAACCCTTTAGCTTCGGTACTATCGTTTCCCCGAGAATTGCCAAAATTAAAATGATGTTTAATTAAAAGAATTATTGATTAGTTTTCCTCTAATTGATTGGTATTTTTTATTAGCAGTATTGTATTAAGCATGTTTTTTCGTGCGGAGTTGTGAAAAAAATATTGTCCACAACTCGCTTAAAGATCACTAAAACTGGTTTTACTCACATCAAACCCGCAAGAGTATTCAATTGCCTCAGTGTCAAGTAAAAAATACTTAGTTTTTAAAGATAACAAATGCACAATATGTTGTTTAAAGTAATCAGTCACTTAGCATTTACGCTTAAGTACCAGACCTAAATTTATTTGATTATTATTTAGCAGGCAACAGTAATGCAGCTAAAATAATTCCTTAAGAATCAGGCAAAATCAGCCGCAACATCTTCGTCCCTCCACCAGAATAAGAACAAACAATCCATACTATTCATTAAGCGAAACGGAAACATCTTCGGTTGTAAATTAAATTATTATTAATAATCGGGAAATCATGGCACTAAGCTAATTATAATATATCCGGTTTAGTACTATTTTCTTTCGTTTAGTCGTCCAATTTTATCCTTAGCATTTCATAGTGATGAATATGCTTATCAAATACCTGAATGAGGCCGTAATTACAAATTAATGGCATGAAATTTTCGCAAAAAGTCTATTTTAGTGAAGTATGAAGCACCTTGCTCATAGTTACTGAACGTTCATCAAATTGTAGACAGTGATTACGAAGAAATACCAGAGAAGCTTTCAGCAATTCTTCTCTGGAAAACTAAGAACTTTTTGATTTTTCTACTAAAATTTGCAGTTTGGAACCTGAATTCTCATCGACGGAGCCAGTTCATAAGATATAAAGTATTTGCAAACATCTAATACGCGAGCACATGGTCGTAAAATGAAGATCGTCCCAGCACGAGGTCATGCACGCAGCATGTTATTACTTTTCACAAATAATACTATTGCACCAAGTAGCCAATTAATCGGATGAATCTTCTTGTTTGCCATTCACACGGTAGGCGACCGTTGCCCATTTTTTCCGGTTTTGGTAAAACAAACACTCAATGGGACGATAGAGTTTTAGCAAACCTAGCTGAACTTATCAATAGATGGACGTTTTCCTATTCACTAATTTTCCCGCGGTCTTCGAGTCACCAACCCAAATTTAGAGGATTTGCAATCAGTGTTTCCATCGGCGTCTTAATATGTAGTGAACTAGTTAACCACATTTTGCCAATTATTCCCTGAAGTAACTTTTTAATATTTACTAGCTCACTTTGTGTGAATCCAGCTATAGCAATCAATGGCATACTATATGGAAACTTACACGATAAATTAGATAGTTTGGTGCTAAAACTGTTCAAGATGGTATTATTGCAGGGGCTTGCCAAAGTACTTAAAATAGTATGGCTTTATTAACAATTTTATAACGCCATATGGAGCCAAGAGTGGCGTGGCATTGCGATTTTTGAGTAATAAATTTGATGCAAGCTGCTGAAATAATATCCTCGAGTGTTTTCTGATCTTCCCCTAAATGGAATATTACGTATATTCGATAGCGCTAGAATGTAAATGTTGTTATCGAGGTTTTCCGAATATTTCCAAAACTGTTAACATTATTTGTAAGGACTACTAGACAAGGACTGGCAAGATTAGTTAGTTTGTTGTTCTACAAAATCTTTAGAGGATGCACGCATTTTATATCAAAGGAAACGTTTACTCATTTTTAAGTACATACTTAAATTTAGTTTGAAAATACGTAGAATTTTTAACCGTTCTAGTT